TGTCTGCAAAAGGCATAATTACTCTGCTAACACTGTACAGGGCTCTTGGAGCTCAGCTTGACTCAACATGGCTTGACATGGTGGCAGCACTGGCGTCCAGAGAGAAAGAGCCAAAGCTGTCCATCTTGTAGCCAGACAGGTGGGAGCCAGGACCCAACTCAGCTTGCTCATGCCCAGAGAGGGAAAGAGTTAAGCTGCTCACTCTGAAGGCAGGGGAGAGCCAGCCCTGTGGCTGCAGGCATGTGGGTGGCAGAAGCCACAGAGCCAGAGCAGACAGCTCAGATAACGGTGCACAGTGTGAGAGAGCTAGAGAGCTAGTATAAGTAAGTTGCTAGTAAGAGCTGCTGACTAATAAAATCATATTCACCTGCCTATGCCCCCAAGTGTTCTTTCTGCTCATCCGCCCACTCCCACCGGACTTCAGCATGGGCTGGATCCAGACCCTGTGACCTGACAGTATCACAGATGAAGTAAGTATCTGTAAGTGATACCTATAAGTACCACAGATGAAGAATTTCCTACCTTCATCTGTGATACTTAAAACATATGGGTTTCCTTTTGGTCAACTACCTATATTTAGTAAAGATTTGCTATACATGTTTAAGTCACTTGACAGTGATTTTTAAGTACCTGTAATGAAGTTCCTAACTCTTGGTAACACATAAAAAAAAAAAAAATGGAGCACTTTTACAAAATAGTCATGCTCAGGAGCTACTTCAGATAACTGAGGGGACTAAAGTATAATATACGTATAGAAAAGGGCATTTGTCTTACGTGTACAGCCCTTATGTTCATTGTTTTCTAAACTGAATACACCTGTGCGGCCAGTGCTCAGCTAAAGAATCAGAACATCACTAGTGTTCCACAGACCTCTTTATGCTCCTTTCCAGTTACTACAGGCCTCTTCTCCAAAGCAGTGCAACAGTCTCATGAAAAGCTCAGGTGGTTCTAATCTGCAAACAGGGTTAACTACAACCTCTCTCCCAACCAGAGAAGACTGAAGACAACTGGCAGTGGAGAGAACTAGTGTGGCCAGAGCCTTGGCTTACGTCTGTAACCCCAACACGCCGGGAAGCCAAGAGGGAAGGATCACTTAAGCCCAGGAGTTTGAAACCAGCTTGGCCAACACAGTGAGACTTTGTTTCAAAAACAAACAATTAGCTGGGCACAGTGATGCACACCTATGGTCCCATCACAGCTACTTGGGAGGCTGAGGTGGCAGGATCACTTCAGCCCAGGAGTTCAAGGCTGCAGTGAGCCATGATCATACCACGGCACTCCAGCCTGGGAGACAGTGAGACATCATCTTAAAAAAAAAAAAAACAAAAAAGCTAGCCTAAAAAATATTTACATCTTCTCAAGTTTCTCAATATCGGCATATCACCAGGCATCACCAGAAATTTAGCTCACGTGTCAATTTTACCTTTTCTTTAAAAGTGCTTATGTTAAAATGGTCACATTAAGAACAATTCTAGAGTTTTAGAAAACTTCTTTCAAATTATCATACAAGTGTTATTCAATGTCCTTTATTAGATGGCCAATACATTTCTTTAAAGTTAACGTTAAAGCAAGTTTTGCTCTCCTAATTGGCAAGTATCTTTTTATTAGAGAAGAACTTTGTAAATTATAACCCACCAAATTTCCTTTCTGATCAGGACTGCTGCAAAGGGCTAATAGCTTTACTTAGGCTAAATTTTCTGATTTAATTCCAACATTATTCACTCTTGTTACTTGGCTTTTGCTCTTTTATCCTTTGTTTTCACCACTCATTTTTCTAAGCCACCTCGAATCTTGAATATCCAGGCAAAATGAATAGTTTTTGAAAATATTTTTTTTAAAATACTGTCTAAAAATATTTTATTCTTTTCATTCTTTGAAATATACTTCAAAATAAATAGTATTCCTTTCTCATCATTTTTGCTATTGTTGCACCTAAATGACACTATTTTAAACTTGATAAAGTTCCTGGAATTAGCATATCACACATTTGCTAGAGGGTTGTTATTTAAACGAAAAAATGGTCTCTGAAAAACGGTCATTAAAAAGACAGTGGATTTTCAACTCTTGAGAAGGAGACAGCTTAGAAGAGAAAGCAATAATAAAATAAAAAGAAAGCTCACTGGCCTATGGGAAGTAATTTTTAATTAATAAACATTTCCAATTAAACGACAACTTTCCTTTTTCCAAAATACAGGACAAGAAAGTTCTGCTCAGCCTGGTCCAGTGAACAGGGAAAGGGGCTGAGAGACAGAATACTCGTTTCATCCTTTCTCTTTCAATGACAAGTTTTGATTTCAAATCACCAGGGGATCTTGCTACAATGCAAATTTTGCATAAAATGCAAATTATAGTGGGTTTAGGGTAGGACTTAAAGGCTGTATTGTTTTTTATTTAGAGATGGGGTCTTGCTATCTTCTACAGGCTGGCCTCAAACTTCTGGGTTCAAGCAATCCTCCTGCCTCAGCCTTCCGAGTAGCTGGGATTACAGATGTGAGCCACTGTGCCCAGCTCAAAAGTCTGCATTTCTAATGAGCTCACAAGGAATGCCAAATGTGCTGGTCTATGGACCACACTTTGAGTAGCAAGATTTAGATGACTTGGAATAACATCATGCCACCTTGTGTGCATTAGATTTGATACCAATAAGATGAAGGTAATAATACCAAGGCATTTATGCTTAAACACATGATAAACACATAAAGTGATATTTAAGTTAAAGTGCCTGAATTCCTAAGGACAGGTGATATATATATATGTGTGGGTGTGTATATATGTGTATATATATATATATATATATATATATATATCCACGTATTATCATCTCCTTACTAGGGAGCTTTTACTTCAAGCTATAACCAAGAAAGCTTTATAAACAAGCATATTTTAAATACGTGTTTGTATAAATTAATACCTATTCAGTTTAGGAACTCTGATTCTAAAGAAGAGAACACTGATTTGGGGACACATCAATACAAAACAACTACACATACTCACTAATTTGAATTAAAGACTTGGCTGGGTGCAGTGGATTACACCTGTAATCCCAACAGTTTGGGAGGCTGAAGTAGGAGGATCACTTGAGGCCAGGAGTTTGAGACTAGCCTGGGCAACATAGGGAGACTCCATCTCAACAAAAATTTTAAAAAATCAGCTGGGCATAGTGATGCAAGCCTGTAGTTCTAGCTACTTGGGAAGCTGAGGCAGGAGGGTTGCTTGAACCCTCACTGCTGCGCTCCAGCCTGGATAAGTGAGGCCCTGTCTCAAAAGACAAAAACAAATTGAGGACTGTGTACAAGCTCACTGGGTAAAAAATGGTGTAAGATGTGAGTTCTTCCTTTAGGAGAGCACAAAGGAGAAGCCAACCTCTATATTAAACTTGGAAACAAAACACTAATTAAGTATAAACATGACTAGAACAGGAAATCAAATGCTGAATAATCAATGTGCTAGAGGAGATAAGAAAATTTCTAAGGAGCAGGAATTCAGGTGAGGGTGACGGGCAACCCTATGGCTATTTACTTGTAATTGTTTTTCGGTCTTTCATTATTATTGTCCCTACCTTTGTCCCACTCCAGTCATCCATTTCCCCACCCAGAAGCCACAGTGATTTCATTAAAAAGTAAAGCACATCGCTTTACTCCTCAGCTTTTAAAAAATCTCCCAATGGCTTTTAGAATGAAACACAAACTCCTTATTGAGACCTATAATGTTCTCACTTTGGGAGGCTGAGGGGGGCAGATCACTTGAACCCACGAGTTCAAGACCAGCCTGGGCAACACGGAGAAATCCCATCTCTACAAAAAATAAAAAATTAGCCAGGTGTGGTGATGTGCACCTGTGGTCCCAGCTACTTGGGAGGCTGAGGTGGGAGGATCACTGGAGCCCGGGAGTTGGAGGCTGCAGTGAGCCATGACGGTGTCACTGCACTCCAGCCTTGGCAACACAGCAAAGACCTTGTTTCAAAAAAACAAAGACCTATCATGTTGTAACACTAGCCCTACCTCCCTCTGCCCCATCGTCTCCTACCACTTTCTTCCTGTCAGGTGGTTCTCCCAGCTACAAACCCAACCTTCCAGCTGGTGCCTTGTGAAGGGGTTCGGCCTCTTTGCCAGTGGGTTTCCTGTTAGGTTTCGCCAGTAGGGGTCGCTGTAGGGAAACGTGAACGAGGAAGCTTTCCTCGTTCAGGGCAGTGGCCGCTGGCTCCAGTCTTTAGGTTCTTTCGGAACTCGGAGAACCAGCCACATTAAGCCCCCTGCAGCCAGAGAGGCCCCTCCACAGATCTGATGACAGCTGCAGAAGATCCCTCCGCTAGTCTCTCCTCCAACCCAAAGGGTGGTTGTCAATTTCTGTTATTAATTATGGGGTAATTTCAACATCACACCCCGCTTCAGTGCTTTCACACTGGTGGAACTAATTCCTAAACTAAGTTCCTTCTGCTGACATGTCAAACGGAATTTTAGTTTTACTGACCATACCTGCGTGACACAGCCCCTCCCTGCCTTCACTCCAGCCGCACTGAGCACGTTTCTCCCTTGAACAGCGACCTTGTTTTCACCCGAGTCCTGGCAATTCCATCTGCCTGAACCGTCTCCCTTAAGCTCCTTATGTGGCCCTAGAAGGAGACTGGGAAGTTGGGATGGAAAAATCTTGCTTGCTTGCTTATATTTTACCTTGTAATTTACAGCTCCACCTACCTATTTCTCCCAAAGGACTTGAGCATGTAGTTTTGAGGACAGAGAGCTGAATTCTCACCTATGTAAACTTAGAATTTAGACGCTCTCTCCACCTACTTCCCAAAAAATCTAAAGTGCACAGGATTCAGTAAAAAGGCAGACTGGCTGAGAAATAAGATGGGACATGCCTAGTTTACAATGATAATCAAATAATCAAATGTAAAGATCTTGGGAGGGGCTAAAATTAGAAAATCTCTTTAAGTAGCTCTGCATCAATTACATAAAACATTATTCCTTTAGCACTGCAAATCTCTTCACAACCCTCACCTGTGCAGCAGAGGTCTTCGCCACTTGAATGATTTTCTCCATAGAAAGGTAGCTCTGCTGGAGGGGGGCAGGGCCAATGGAATATGCTTCGTCTGCCTGTTTAAGAAACATCACATGCTTAAAAGACTGTGGCTAGTACATACTCAGACACTCTACAGAACTGCTGTGGGGTCAATTTATTATTGTAAATAAAAATGCCAGCCCCTCAAGAACAGTGCAAGAATTCCCAAACTGAAGTATCAGTGTATGTCTATGTTATAAAAATGAGCCAGTCTTAGAATCTTTTGCATGAAGAGAGTAACAGAACTTGGTTTTCATGCATAAGCCACACACTGGTGTGAAAGTACAGTGTCTCAGGATAGAAAGCAACAGGGATTAGCCATGTTATTCCTAAAACAATCATAACCTTAAAAGTATTTAATGCCAAAAATTTACATTTAATAATAGAAACAAAATACGTGACAGATGTACAAAGAAAAAAGCTTACAAGGTTGATTAAACTGTATATCATTATCAGAGTATGATAATGCTTTCATACATTAGTGAATTATTTTATTCTATTCTTTAAAATTTTCACATAATCATAGCATCCCTTGAAGTCGACCAAATAAAGCACATCGTTCATTCATCCCAGTACTTACTGAAGGCCTACTGCGTGCCACTCTTTCAGGTGGGAGCTGCCTGTACCACAGTGAACAAGACAAATGTCCCTGACTAAGGGGAGAGACAGACATTAAACACTTAATGACAACTGTGATGAACGTCATGAAGAGAAAACCAAGGGCATAAAGGCAGCAGGAGGAAGGCCTGATCTGGTCTGAAGGTGGTCAGGAAGCACCCAGGAGGGAAGTCAGGGGAGGCTCCTCAAGGATGACCAAGACTTTGCCTGGCAAACAGATCAGAATGTGGAGTTGGGAACAGGAATGGAGCAGAGGGTGAGTCTCTCAGGCAGAGAAAACAACCTACAGAAAGGTGGGAAGAAACCTGGTCCATCTGAGCAACTGAAGGTGGCTTGTGTGGCTGGAACACAGTGAGCAAGGGGTCCAGGGGCCAGAAAGGATGCTGGACAGAAAGCTGGGCACAGATTTCAAAGGGGCTGTGAGAGGTTACAAGCTTTGGGCTTTCTCCTAAGGGAGGACGCAAAGAGACCATTTAAAAATTTTTTTTGCGGCGGGGGATGAGTCTTGCTCTGTCGTCCCAGGCTGGAGTGCAGTGGTGCAATCTCGGCTCGCGGCAACCTCTGCCTCCCGGGTTCAAGCAATTATCCTGCTTCGCCCCGCTCCCTGCGCAGTAGCTGAGATTACCGGCGTGTGCCACCAGGCCCAGCTAATTTATGTATTTTTAGTAGAGACAGGGTTTCACCATGTTGGCCAGGCTGGTCTCGAACTCCTGATCTCAGGTGATCCACCTGCCTCAGCCTCTCAAAGTGCTGGGATTACAGGGATGAGCCACTGCACCCAGCCTGTATTTTCCTTTTATCTCCACAAAACACAGATCTTTTCTCATTCTAAAGAACGTGAATTATTATAATACAAATGCAGAGTAGCCCTTCAGTACTCCCCCCTTGCAATCACCTTCCAGATAGAACATCACTACAGTCAACCTGGGACATACTGTACCATATTCACATTCCTAACTATTCATATAGATTTGCATAAACACATGCAGTTTTCGTTCTTGTTTTTATAGAAACAGGATCGTACTATATAGCTATCTTCTGCAATTGCTTTTTTCATTAACGGTATGTCTTGGGAGCTCTTTTTCTTGCTAGTACACAGGCCTACCTCATTTTGTATAACATTTGCAAAACATTCCGTAGTATGGAGGCATCACAGTTCATTTAATCATGTATCTCTTAATGTGCACTTAGGTTATAACGGCAGAAAACTGGATGTGGGCAAGGCTGAAGGATATGCAAGTTTAATAGCTTCTGGTTAATCAGCCCTGAAATGGTTTTACCAATATATATTTCCATCAACATACCAATTTCTAACCACCTTCATCAACACTCAATATTATCCACCTTTTAAATTACTGATAAGCTGGTAGATCATATAAGTTTAAAGCATTTGGCCAGGCGCAGTGGCTCACACCTGTAATCCCAGCACTTTGGGAGGCCGAGGCGGGTGAATCACAAGGTTAGGAGTTTGAGACCATCCTAGCCAACACAGTGAAACCCTGTCTCTACCAAAATACAAAAAATTAGCTGGGCATGGTGGCACATGCCTGTAGTTCCAGCTATTCAGCAGGCTGAGGCAGGGGAATCACTTGAATCTGGGATGTTGCAGTGAGCAGAGATGGCGCCACTGTACCCCAGCCTGGCGACAGAGCAAGACTCTACCTCAAAAAAAAAAAAGAAAGAAAGAAAGAAAATTAAAGCATTTAAACAAAGAAGTAACTTAAAGATTGTTGGCTGGGGACGGGGATAGTTAAGAGTAGAGGCAGAGAGGGTACTTAGAAGGCTGCAGCATTTGGCCAAGCAAGAGGTGACAGTGGGGCCAGGCATGCTGGCTCATGCCTATAATCCCAAAACTTTGGGACAACATAGTGAGACATAATCTCTACAAAAAATAAAAAACCATTAGCCAGCCATGGTAGCAAGTGCCTGTAGTCGCACCTAATCAGGAGGCTGAGGTGGGAGGATCACTTGAGCCTGGAAGGTTGAGGCTACAGTGAGCCGTGATTGTGCCACTGTACTCCAGCCCAGGTGAAAGGGTGAGACCCTGTCAAGAAAGAAAGAAGGAAGGAAGGAAGGAGGGGAGCGAGGGAGGAATGGAGGGAGGGAAGGAAGGAAGGAAGGAAAGAAAGATAGGAGAGAGAGAAAGAGAGAGAGAAAGGAAGGGAGGGAGGGAGAAAGGAAGGGAGAGAGGGAGAAAGGAAGGGAGGGAGGGAGGAAGGAAGGAAGGAAGGAAAGAAGGAAGGTGATTATGACTTTGAGTTACAGGTGGGAGGGGGCAGAAAGAAGTGGATAGAAATGTTTGGGAAACGGAATTAATAGTACTTGGTCATTTACTAGATGAGAGGGAAAAGGATCTAGAGTGGGAAAGAAGAGAGAAAAATGTTCAAAGACTTCTAGATCTCTGCCATTATTGTTTTTCTTAGCAATAGTGTTGTCCTCTACGGGGTTAGGGAAGTCTGTAAGAAATGCAGGTTAGTACAGATGAAAGGTCATGAGTTCAATTTCAGTCACATTAGTTTGGTACCTGTGACAATATCAAAGTCGAGAAGTTGCAGCTGGGTGCAGTGGCTCACGCCTATATAATCCCAGCACTTTGGGAGGCCGAGGTGGGTGGATCACGAGGTCAAGAGATCGAGACCATCCTGGTGAAACCCCATCTCTACTAAAAATACAAAAATTAGCTGGGCATGGTGGTGCATGCCTGTAATCCCAGCTACTCAGGAGGCTGAGGCAGGAGAATTGCCTGAACCCTGGAGGCAGAGGTTGCTGTGAGCCGAGATCGTGCCACTGCACTCCAGCCTGGGTAACAAGAGCGAAACTCTGTCTCAAAAAAAAAAAAAGGTGGAGAAATTGAATGGGCAGTTGGATATAGATGTATCATGCTCAAAAGAAAGTCTGGGCTTGAAATAAAAATTTGTGAGTCTTTCTCAAAGCTATAGGAGTATGTGAAATGAGCTAGAACAAGAGTAAACACTGAGAAAAGAGGGTCAAGGACCAAGTCCCAAGGAACTTCAACAGAAGGGTCTGGTAGATGGGTAGGGTCCAGAGAAAGGGCACTGAGAGAAGACAAGAAGGCAAGAAATTGGGGAAGCCATAGACGAATTTATTTCTAAAAGAAAGGAGCAGTTGACTAGGGTGTTAAATCTTGCTGGGAGGTCAAGTCAGCCCAGGCCTGGAGACTCCACTGAATTTAGGGACATGGACATTATTAGTCTAGTAGAGAGTGGCTGAAGACACATCACTGAAAAACGAGGATTCTTTTTTGACATAGAAATGTCTCATTTTGCTTTACGTTTTATTAATATTGTTAAATGACAAATCATAATTGTATACATTCACGGGGTACCAATGTGATGTTTTGCCACATGCATACAACGTGTAATGATTGAATCAAGCTAATTAACCTAGCCATCATCTCACTTACCTGTTATTTTTCATGGTAATACATTTAAAATTTACTCTCTTATTTTGGGAAAATTCTTAAAAAGACAAAAAGAGAAGCGATCCAGAGCACTGGCCTTTGATGGGAAAAGATGGATGCAGAAGTAACGAAGTCAGCAGATTCTGTGGTAGGAAGCTCAATTTTATTTTCTCTGTGAAATCAAGATCATCTGCTGTGAATAGGTGGGTAGAGGAGAATTGGAGGTTGGAATGAAGCAAAACTGGTTTAAAATAGTCATTGCACAGAATGAGAAAAAAAGTGGCCAGCGAGCCACATGGGCCTGCTGTACAGTGATGAAAGCCCAGGTGAGGCTGCTCATCACGGATTTGGGCTAGTGATTGGAGTCTTGCTGCAGGCATAATGAAGGCCAACAGCTGAATTCATCCATGGTTACAGTTCTTTCTAGCGGATAAAAGCTAGCAATAGACTGGGCGTGGTGGCTTATGCTCCTAATCCCAGCACTTTGGAAGGCTGGTAGGTGGATCACTTGAGGCCAGGAGTTTGAGACCATTTTGACCAACATAGTGAAACCCCATGTCTACCAAAAATATAAATAATTAGCTGGGGGTGGTGGCATGTGTCTGTAATCCAGCTACTCAGGAGGCTGAGGCATGAGAATCACTTTAACCTGGGAGGCGGAGGTTGCAGTGAGCCACGAACACGCCACTGCACTCCAGCCTGGGAAAAAAAAAAAAAAAAAAAAAAAAAGCTATTAATAACTCAGTCATAATATTTACAAACTTCAGGGGAGTTGGGTCTTTTTAGTTACAACTTTACAGATGAAGCAAGGCTCCAAAACATGAAGTGACTTGGCTAAGATCACTTAGCCAGTTAAGTAGCAGTTGCTAAAAATAGAGCCTGGATGTTTCTCTTTGTATACTGGGACTCTGGACATGAGTTACTCCAAGTGTGGTCTCAGGATCAGTAACAATCTGTGAACTGTTTCAATCCTCAAGGAGACAAAGGCCTTGCCTGTAAATCAACTGTTCTACTAAGCACCCCGCTTTGTTCAACTGACACTGCATTTGGAAAATGTTCCAAGAGTTATCAGTGAGCAGTCTGAACTTACCCACTTCAACCCTGTTACCATTAGCAAATATGAACTGTCATCATAAAGACCTAAAATACTGACACAGTAAATGAATAAAGGTGACCACTTGTAAGACGTGGCTTCCAGTTTTTAACAACATACCATATCTACATGCATGGAATTCCTGTCAGCCTCACTATAAACCGCCACGGACTGTACACCCAGTTTTCTGGCTGTGCGCATCACCCTGCAGGCAATTTCTCCTCTGTTTGCAATGAGGACCTTTGTAATGTTTCTTCCTGTTTAAAACACCATGAAAATCACACAGAAATGTTATTGGAGAGCAAAAAATGAGAATGAGAATATGATATTAACTGGCTGATTGGGACTCGAGTTGGCAAGTTCAAGCTTTTTGGTAAAACATGCAAAACTGAGCCCAAAATGACCACCTTAATATTAGTGCACTTCTTGTCACTGAAATTAAAGATACTCATGAACATAAATTACTCAGCTTTTTCAACTTAAAATACAGTACTTAAAATAAAATTAAAAGAAGCTTTGTTTTGCCAAGGATCAAATTATAATAGTGTTAAAAAAATCATCATCGTTAATTGTAACTGATCTTTAGTTCATTTATTTATTTTTGAGACAGTGTTTTGCTCTTGTCACCCAGGTTGGAGTACAATGGTGCGATCTTGGCTCACTGCAACCTCTGCCTCTTGGGTTCAAGCAATTCTCCTGCTTCAGCTTCTTGAGGAGCTGAGATTACAGGCATCTGTCATCACACCCAGCTAATTCTTATATTTTTAGTAGAACGGGATTTCACCACATTGACCAGGCTGGTCTTGAACTCCAGATCTCAGGTGATCCGCCTGCTTCGGCCTCCCAAAGTGCTGGATTACAGGTGTGAGCCACTGTACCTGGCCAATAATAACTAATATTCAATAAGCACTTTCTGTGCCTCAGGTCCTGTACTAAAGACTCAACGTCGACTTAAATTTTCACAATAATCCTAATGACATAGATACTACCATTGTTACCTCAATTTCAAAGATGATGAAACTAATGCTCAAGCTATTATTATCCCAAAAATTACAGAGCTAAAGAAAGAATACGGGATTTGAACCCAGCTCTACGTCACTCCAGAATTCGAGCTCTCAGTCACTCTGTTCCTCTGCCTCTACCTCTGTGTACACAAGGGTGTGTGGTTCTCTTGCAACACTAGTGACTCTTACACCAGCCTACTGGCATTGCCACCATGACAAGCTACTGTGTATAGAAAATGTTTTTTTTTTTTTCTTGAGACAGAATCCTGTCACCCAGGCTGGGGCAATCTCCACCATCTGGGTTCAAGCGATTCTTCTGTCTCAGCCTCCCAAGTAGCTGGGATTACAGGCGTGTGCCACCACGCCCAGCTAATTTATAAAATGTACTTCTAACACATACATATATAAAATGTAATTCTAATATCACATATGAAATAAATGTTCTTTGACATTTCATAATAAAGTTATTTCTTCAATATAATCCATAGGCTCAACATAATAAAGTTATCTCTTCTTTAAAAAACAGTAAGGTTGCACATTATTCAGGTGTCTTTCCATGGGGCTCCATAGAGCCCAAGACTTGTCACAGGGGCTGCTGGATGACTATGTATGTGCATGGGCAGGGGAGAAGGGCAGGGTAGGTAGAGGGTTATACCCAATCAACTAGAAGTTATGCTTTATTACACTTTTATATGTTTTGTAGTTGGGAATTCCATCTTAAATTTTATTTGGAAAAAAGCGTTTTGCTACTTAAAATAGCTTTTTCAAAGCACTGATTTTGACCATCGTAGTTAGGATTTTCCAATCCAATACACTAAGAGGGTCAAAGAGACAGAACAACACAAATATAAAATCTTCTCCATTATTGCTCTCTGTATTTTATTTATTTATTTATTTATTTAATTTATTTATTTTTTTGAGACAGAGTTTCGCTCCTTACCCAGGCTGGAGTGCAATGGCACGATCTTGGCTCACTGCAACCTCCGCCTCCTGAGTTCAGGCAATTCTCCTGCCTCAGCCTCCTGAGTAGCTGGGATTACAGGCACGCGCCACCGTGCCCAGCTAATTTTTTGTATTTTTAGTAGAGACGGGGTTTTACCATGTTGACCAGGATGGTCTCGATCTCTTGACCTCGTGATCCACCCACCTCGGCCTCCCAAAGTGCTGGGATTACAGGCTTGAGCCACCGCGCCTGGCCTTTATTTTTATTTTTATTTTATATAGAGACAGGGTTTTATCATGTTGGCCAGGCTGGTCTTCAACTCCTAACCTCAGGTGATCCGCCTGCCTCGGCCTCCCAAAGTGCTGAGATTATAGGCATGAGCCACCATGCCTGGCCATTTTATTTATTTTTCAGTTTTTTTTTTGAGACAGAGTCTCACTCTGTCACCCAGGCTGGAGTGAGTGGCGTGATCTCAGCTCACTGCAACCTCCACCTCCTGGGTTCAAGAGATTCTTCTGCCACAGCCTCCCAAGTAGCCAGGATTACAGGCAACCACCACCATGTCCAGCTAATTTTTGTAGCTTTTAATAGAGACAGGGTTTCACCATGTTGGCCAGGCTGGTTGAGAACTCCTGACCTCAGTTGATCTGCCTGCCTCAGCCTCCCAAAGTGCTGGGATTACAGGCGAGAGCCACTGCACCAGGCTTTTTAGACTCAACATCAAGAGAGATTTGATATAAAAGAGGTGAAAACTATGACCTAACACTTTCTAAAAAATCATCATGAAAATCCAAAATTTATAACTAATTCTATTATGCACATAGTAAGGGATTAAGCAGTTCCCTTTCTTAGTTCACAATCTGAAGCAGAATCAGAACAACAAAGCCGCTCAGTACCTGTGGTTGTTGCGTACTTCATGGTTCTTTGCCTCCACACCCATGTCCTATAACATAAATGCAAATGGAATTACAATTAAACAGAATAACACAATTGTTCTTTCGAAAGAATTTAAGTTTCTTAAAACACAAAACCTTAAGCCAAATAACAGTGATTTAGTAAAGCTTTCCTGGTGGGTAGAAAACTAATCTAGAAATCAAGAGTTAGAGGTCTGGCTGTTTTCCCTTGTACTACCTCTCCTTGAACAAGTCACCCATCTGTTTGGCCTTGAGGCTGGCATGTGACCACAGAGTCAGAGATGATTAAACAACCAAGGTATATCAAGATCATCTAGTTCAGCTTTTTGAAACCTTTTTCGCTACAACTCACAATACAAATTACCCAGGACACACACAATTAAAACAGATGTTAAAAAAATGACTCATTCTGCCTTTTGGTACTTTCAGTTCTATCCTATTTTATTAAAATATACTGGTCAATCTACAGTTTGAAAAATGCCAATCAGGTTTAAACATGAGACATGTTTAAAAAGTAAGACCAAAGAAATAAACAGAAGTTCAACAGAGGCAGCAGAAAGAATGTTGGCTGTGGGATCAGAAGTGCCAAGTTTTCATCCATGTCCCTCCAACGGCCAGCTTGCCCAGGGTCAAGTCACTTTACATCAGTGTTCCTCAAACTGTTTTTTGTTTGTTTGTTTGTTTGTTTTCATTATTACCCTCCTAATAAAAAAAACTTTTAAAAGATTTTATTTCTTGTAGGAAGGGAGGGGTGAGGTTGAGCTTTGGAAGGCCGTGAACCATGACAATGTAGATTTTCTGGCCCTCCCAAGAATCCATTTCCACCCCTTTAGCAGTGGTATCAACCCAGTTAAGGAAGTAAGATTTGGTATCTGGGGCTTCAGTGTTCTCCAACCCGAGGTGAGACTGTAAGAGGTCATCTTAAAGGGACCTCTCAGGTTTGAAAGTACTATACAATTCTATTCCAAATCCTTGTATTAAAAGAAAATGGAGAAACGGGGAGAGGAAATGACTTGCAGTGTCTTGAGTCAGAAGGAGCAATAATTTTTTAAGTTTCATGATACCTGTTTACATAATAAGGTAACACTGAAGCATTAACGAAAAGCTGACAGGAACAGGCCAGATTCACTTTAGGAACAAAGAAGTATAATGTCTCTGAAGTGTCAGCTGAAGAGCCTATGTGGGCAGGGCATGGTGGCTCATGCCTATAATCCCAGCACTTTGGGAGGCTGAGGCAGACAGACGACCTGAGGTTAGGAGTTCGAGACCAGCCTGGCCAACATAGTGAAACCCCATCTCCACTAAAAATACAAAAATTAGCCGGGCGTGATGGTGGGCACCTACAATTCTAGCTACTCGGGAGGCTGAGGCAGGAGAATCGTTTGAACTCGGGAGACAGAGGTTGCAGTGCACCAAGATCATTCCATCGCACTCCAGCCTGGGCGACAGAGTAAGACTCCGTCTCAAAAAGACAAACAAAAAAAAGAGCATAGGCAGGGAAACCAACAAATCACAGAAGCAATTCCACCTATCCTTTTGTTTATACCTGGAAGACGTGGTTATAAAGGACTAACTAGCCGTTTTAGATTCACGAAGCATAAGATAAGAGCACAGCTGTGCATTTGAATCTATGTAACTAAATAGTAGGATATACATACTATGCATATGACTCCATAGTTGAGCAGGATTAGTATTTCACTGGCACCCAGATGCAGGAGACACCTATACATCTATATGCGTCACACACTCATCACCCTACAGTGTACAATCTGGTGCTGCCATCCATGAGGGGCTGCTGGGAAGACCCACAGGTTTGGCAGGAGAGTTCCATGAGCTGCTTCCTCAGGAGGCTGCCGCTCTCCCGTTCCTTTCCAATTCAGTCGACCTTGCCTTCTTGATCTTGAAGGAGGGGGATCACTGTCCTTGATCTTTATGAGGTATTTTCTGTCACTGTCTTCCCTTCACATTCTTTAGATAGGTTTCTGATAAGTTTCAAGGCCTATTCTGAGCAGATGTATCTATTAAATGGTTGCTTCTTGGTAAAGCTAGCTTAAGAGTCTGATAAGTTTCAAGGCTACTGTTGACGTAAAGCTTTCTTTTGCTATCTTCTAGTGAAGACAGAAGGGAAAGAGAAGGAAAGAGGGAGAATGAGAGACAGAGAGAGAGAGAGATTACACTTAACTATAATCTACCCCAACAATGTTATGATTGATCATTCCATTTTTCACAATTATCTGAGCTGAAACTTAAAAACAATGGCTTAAACAAGATTAAGAAGCTGCTTCCCAGATTCAAGGTAGCTCCATACCAGCTTATTGTCATATCTATAATTCTGCCACTAGAAATTATTTTCTCTGGGCTACTAGAGATTCACAACATAAAAATAATGTAAACTATCTGTACTGATTTTTTTTTTGATTCGGGATGTCACCCAGGATGGAGTACAGTGGTGTGTGTGGCCTGGAACCCCTGGGCTCAAGCCATCCTCACCCACCTCATCCTCCCAAGTAGCTGTAACTACAAGTGTGTGCCACTACGCCTGGCTAATTTTTTAATGTTTTGTAAAGATGAGGTCTTACTATGTTGCCCAGGCTGGTCCTGAACTCACACAATCCGCCCACCTTGGATCCCAAGTGCTGGGAAAGTGCTGAGAATACAGGCATGAATGAACTCTCCTGGCCCAGAGGTTTACTTCTATAAGCCATCAACAACTCTAACGCTCTCCAGGGTGACACATACTTGAGAATAGTTCTATAAACAATAGGTAAGCTTTGAAAGGGAAGAGAGAGAGAAAATGGGTCTACCGTACTATCCTGAAGAGCCCTGCACACCTAAGAAAAGAAAAACCAGGGGAACAAAGGAACATTAACATTACTTTCACCAACTTTCTCATGTTTCTCTGGGCAGTCCTACAATTAAGTCACTAAAAAGGCCATCTACAATAATTTCTGGAAAATAAAAACAAGCAAATGTTCATGTAAATGGTTGGTTTTGCATTTATATATTGATTTTATGTACCAGATTCTGCTTAAACCTCTTTCCATGCGTTAATTTTCACAACCCAAGGTACGAGCATCATCTCCTCCAAGGTGAGGAAATTAAAGAAGAAATATTAAGTAACTTACCCAAAGTCACACACCTAGTGAGTAGCTAAGACCTCAGCCTTGACTGCAGAATCTGTGCCCTTGAACACTAAACTGTCTTTCCAGAATGATGGAGGATGATGATAACCATTAAGCCAAAGAAGACAAAGAAGCAAGCTATCTACAAGCCTGAGGGTGTTTTCGCTGCCAGAGTTACTGCCACCAAAGGTTAGAGCTCAAAATTTGAAACAAGAGGTAGAGTCAGGTGAGCTAAACTGAGTCATCCGACAGCGCTGTTCGAACCTGGGTGCGAGAGTTTCTGACAAAACAGTTCCCCAGCTCTGTGGAAGGCACACGTTCTCCTCTCGACAACTTCATTCCTCTAACAACGAGCGGGAACTCCAGGCGTCCTTCTGAGAACAGGACACCTGATGGGGCGCAGCCGAACTGGAAATGACTCGCGGGCATCCTGGTCCAGTCCTTACTAGTCGTGTTCCGCTGAGCAAGTCGCTGATCCGCGGGGGCTTCCTTGGAACGGGATGGTAACAACGTTCCCACCTAAGGGGTGCTGCGAACGCCGAGGAAAACGGCTCCGAGCTGCCGCGGCGGCGAGGGACGACTGGAGGACGGCGGGCCCCTCCTCGGAGCGGAAAACCGGAACGGCGCGCTGAGGCGTGGATGCGGGGAGGCCGGGAGAGCGCGAAGGCCGCTGCGGGGGGTCCTCCTCCTGACGCCGTGACTGCCAGCAGGACCCCGCACGAGCGGCGGGATTTTTCTTCCGTCCTCCCCACCGCGACACCCCGTCCCGCCGCACCTCCCACCGCCCACCCAGGTGCAAGCGCCCCTCGCCTCCGCCCCCGGCATGGCGCCATGGCCCCTCTACCCACCTCGGCGGCAGGAGCAGGCTCGGGAGACGCTGCCACCGGTTCCTCTCCGCCGCCGCCGCCAGCAGTGCCGACACCGCGGAGACCGCCGCCATGTCCCTGGGGCCCAGCCGCTCCGCTACTCCCCGGCACTGCGGCTGCCGCGTCCCACGCTGCAAACCCGACCCTCCGCTCCGAAGCCTCGAGAGCCCCGCCGGCCACCGTCGGAGTCTCAGCCTCGCTTTGGGCCTATCCGAGCATGTGAGGGCGTCTCCACAAACACCAATCAAAGACCAGAGTTCGGCTTCCGCAGCGACGATTGGTCAGTCTGGCCGCGTGCCCGCGGGGGTGTGGCCTTAGTTTCTGCGCCACACGGGCCTGCGCCGACTCCGGGAAGGTGTTTCCCCTTCCTCCGCCTCCTGGTTCCCTGTCACTGTTTTTTCTTGCCTCCTGCGCGGTTCCTTCACTCTTGTCAGCTTCTGGGAGACGAGCCCTGGGGGAAAAAGCCAAATGCGGATGGAGAGCAGGATACACAATTCTCTAGTGCTCTCAGGGCAGAATAAATAAATAAGCGAAATTGAAAATCTTTAAACCACCTGAGCTTAAAGCAGGTGTTCCTACTGAGTCTTGGGAAAAAGAGGAAGTCAAAGAGCAACAGGAATATCTAGAGGATAAAGATACTGCAAACACTGCAGGTGGATGCTTCGTGAGGAAAGCTGGAGGAAGAAATTAGTGAAGATGAAGGAAGAAATAAATGAATTCCGAAAGCCAGTATCAAAGGACTAATATACCCACAGGGTCACAAAAATTCATAAAATAGTTATCAAATCAGAAATAAAGAGAGAAAAACGCACGTTTGACATGATTTAAAAAACATAAGCGGGGGAAAATCACAGACGGGAAACAAATTGTAGATTTGTAAGATGCTAATTTTGCTTAATTTCAAGTAAACTTAGAACTCTGGATGGAATGAATGATGTTTCAAGAAAATACAATTTGTCAAAATCGATCCTGGAAGAGACAAAATATAAGCAAACCATTACCATAGAAAAACCAGAGAAGTTGAACAAGAGCTGCCCTTGCTACCGCCCCCCACTTCCATCTTCACCTTCACCCCCAAAAGTTACGAAAGCCCACCTTGTCCTGCAAGAAAATTCCACACAAATGAGGAGTTGACTCAAACGCTATTAATTCTCTCCCAGGGCATAAAAAAGATGGACGTGTTCCAAATTCTTTTTAAAAAGTAAACATAATTTTGATACCAAAATCAACAAAGATATCATGCACACACACACACACGACAGACCAATTTCACTTATAAATATCAATGGAAAAATTCTAAATAAAATATTAATTGCACTGGGTGCTGTGGCTCATGTCTTGTGACCCCATCACTTTGCGAGGCTGAGGTGGGAGGACTGCTTAAGCCTAGGAGTTTGATACCAGCTTAGACAACATAATGAGACCCCCATCTGTACAAAACTTTTTTAAAAAATTGGGCATGATGATGCATGCCTGTAGTCCCAGCTACTTGGGAGACTCAGGCAGGAGGATCACTTGAATCCAGGAGTTTGAAGCTACAATGAGCTCTTATGCCATTGTACTCCAGCCTGGGTAACAGAGTGAGAAATTGTCTCTTAAAAAGAGCAAAAAAATTAAAGTATCTTGTAGCATATGAAAAGAATACCACACTGTAAGAGTATAGGGGAGGAATAGCATTAGGAGAAATACCTAATTTGATGATGCGGTGATGGTGGATGCAGCAAACCACTGTGGCATGTGTATACCTACACAACAAAGCTGCACATTCTGCATGTGTACCCCAGAACTGAAAGTACGATTTAAAAAAAGAGAGTGTTTTCATGCTTGCATTCCTGATAACAAAAAGTGTCACAAAAGACTGCCAAACCCCTGTTAAAATGGGAGCTTTGAATGAAGAGACCGCCCCTCAAACAGGCTTTGTGTGAGCAACCTGGCTGTTTATTCACCTGGGTGCAGGTAGGCTGAGGCCGAAAAGGGCATCAGCAAAAGGCAGTGGGATAGGAGTTGGTTTTATAGGTTGGGGCAAATCATTTGGGGAGGGGGCAGGGGTGTTACAGAGTAAGATCAGTTACGGTGGTGGGGGTAGGGGGCAAGGAGAATGCATTACCATAAGTTCAGTTACACTGGGGAGTGGGGTGAGGTGGAAGAGTAGTTAAGATGGCAGGGTGGGGTGGGGTGGGGGGGAGATATTCATGGAGCAAGAACAGTTTAGATGGCAGGGTGGGGTGAGGAGTATTCACATTATCATAAGAACATTTAAGATGGCATAGTGGGGTGAAAAGCTCAATGTGGGGGGAAGCTCCTCTGGGCGATCAGGGATAATGGCATAATGGCAATCGCAGGTGGGGGTGTGGGAGGTGGGGGATGGAGGGAGGTGGGGGGATGAGGGGAAGTGGGGGGTGGGAGGTGGGAGGGGTGAGAGGAGGTGGGGGGATGGGAGGTGGGAGGGGTGAGGGGAGGTGGGGGGTGGGGGAGGTGGGGGATGGGAGGTGGGAGGTGTAGTGGGGATGGGGTGTGATTGCTGAGGCAGGCGGGACTTCAGACTTTCTGGGTCCTGGTTTGTACATGCAGGCCTGACAACCACGACCTTGCACAAAGGCCATCATGACCTCACACAAAAAGTACTTCTGCAAGAACATGCATCTGGCAGCTGCCTATGCAACCCTGCACTGGCATCACCCATGTTATTCATCTTTGTAGCCAAGCATAATTATTTCAAAACAATTACGTAACACTCCTCGTCTTTTCCTTTAAAAAGCTTACTCCCATTGCAATGCCTTATTCCAAAATCAATCTTTTCCTTTTATAGAACCTCTCTTTGTTCCTTATTTAGGCTGATACTATACAAAAATACATAATTTTAAACTGTTTTGTTTTGATATAGCTTCAAACTTACAGAAAGGCTGCAAGAATAACACTCTTCACCTGGATTTCCCAAATGTTTCTTTTTTCTTTTTCTTTTTCTTTTTTTTTTGAGACAGAGTTTTACTCTGTTGCCCAGGCTGGAGTGCAATGGTCCAATTTCAGCTCACTGCAAACTCCATTTCCCGGGTTCAAGTGATTCTCATGCCTCAGCCTCCTGAGTAGCTGGATTACAGACACGAGCCACCATACCCTGCTAATTATTTGTATTTTTAGTAGGGAGCAGGTTTCACCATTTTGGCCAAGATGGTCTCGAACTCCTGGCCTTAAGAGATTCACCCACCTTAGCCTCCCAAAGTGCTGGGATTACAGGCATGAGCCCAAGTGTTTCTATTTTATCTCTTTTTTTTTTTTTTTCAGACAGAGTTTTGCTCTTGTTACCCAGACTGGAGTGCAATGGCACGATCTCAGCTCACCACGACCTCCACTTTCTGGGTTCAAGCAATTCTCCTGCCTCAGCCTCCCGAGTAGCTGGGACTACAGGCATGCGCCACCATGCCCAGCTAATTTTTACATTTTTAGTAGAGACAGGGTTTCACCATGTTGACCAAGGTGGTCTCGATCTCTTGACCTCGTGATCCACCCGCCTCGGCCTCCCAAAGTGCTGGGATTATAGGGGTGAACCACCGCACCTGGCCTCTATTTTATCTCATTTGCTTTATCTTTCTCTCTCTCTCCCTCTCTTCATACAGATACAGATATATATGTATAAACACACACACTTACACGTGCATACACTCACATTTTCTTTCAGAACCACTTGAAAGCAAGCTGCAGACATCATGCCCCCTTTTTTTTTTTACCCCTAACTGGGTCACTGCATATTTCCTAAAACAAGGAGACTTTATCACTTGCACAAAGAATATTTTTGAAGATTGGAAAGTTAACACTGATAAATACTATTATTTATTTTACAGACCTACTTCAACTTTCAACAATTGTTCCGGAAGAAAACACTAGCACACATCGAATTCACTCTCATGTCACTTAATTTGGAATGATTCCTCTGTTTTTATTTCATTTTATTATTATTGTTATTATTTTGTTGTTGTTGTTGAAACGGAGCCTCACTCTGTCGCCCAGGCTGGAGTGCAGTGCTGCAATCTCTGCTTAGTGCAACCTCCACCTTCTGTGCTCATGTGATTCTCATGCCTCAGCGTCCCAAGTAGCTGGAATTATAAGCGCACACCACCACACCTGGCTAATTTTTCCGTAAATGCTTTTTGATTTGTTAACATTCCATATAGTTTTGTCTCTGAGAGGTGGAACTGTGTTTCATTCACCACTCCTTCTCAACATCACTTCTTAATAATGTTCTGCACTTTGCAAAGATCTACAAGAAACAGACATGACTTTAACAATAAGTCATGTTTAAATCCGATTGAAGAAAATACTGAAGGGGGGACGTGGAAGTGGAGGTGCAAAGATGGAAGCTGGTGTGCTGCTCTCTCTGTAACTCCACCCACTGATCCTGTTTCAGAACAGCCTGTAGCCCAGGCTGGAATGCAGTGGCATGATCATGGCTCACCGTAACCTTGAACTCCTGGGCTCAAGTGATCCTCCCCCATCAGCCTCCCGAAGTATTGGAATTATTGCCATGAGCCACTCCAACTGGACTATATTTTTCTTTCTTTTTAACTTTATACAATTTAATATTTGCAGTTTATTTGAACCACCTTCCAAAAAAGGTCCAACCTTTACAGTCAGTTGACAAATTTCTTGTGATTCTCTATCTCTCTTTTAATTCCCTAGACTCCTTTTTAAAAAGAATTTAAATTGTTCCGTAGTTTCCTAAAGTTCAGGTTTTGCTGCTGTCTCCTCTTGGTCTCTTTTAATATGGTCATCTGTCCTTTGCATTTCCTGTAAATTGGTGGTTAAACCAGCCAGCAGGAGCTGACCCAGCAGGTGACTGCAGATGCTTGAGGGCACCTGGCCGAGATCAGAACAGCCTGTGCTGGTTGATTTTAGGTGTCAGCCTGACTGGATTAAAGAACACCTAGATAACTGGTGAAGTATTATGCATTAGTCAGGGTTCTCTAGACGGACAGAACCAGTGGAATATATGTATATATATATATATAAAGGGGAGTTTCTTAACTATGAACTCACACGATCACAAGGTCCCACAACAGGCCTCTTGCAGGCTGAGGAGCAAGGAGAGCCAGCTCGTTCCAAAACTGAAGAACTCGGAGTCTGACATTTGAGGGCAGGAAGCATCCAGCATGGGAGGAAGATGTAGGCTGGGAGGCGAGGCTGGTCTCTCTTTCCACATTTTCTGCCTGCTTATATTCTAG